ATTTTCCTCTCAGGATATTTATTTTTTATTATTAACATTTTTTAATTATTACTGCTAATATTTTAAGTTTTATTATGCTTTGGGCAACGTCCTTATCCCATTAGCAAGGAGCCCCGGTTGAGGGCACCTGGTCGCCACGGTGGGGGCGGCTGCTCGCCAAAACGCCGCTTTTCGGTGATCACGAGGTCGTTGCCTCCAGTCAGCCCGCAGCCTGAGGGCGAGAGGCGGTCTCCTAATTCCCGAATTCCTAATTCTCACTTTGCGTGTTAGCCCAAATCTCGTTTTTATTAGGATGTAGAGAGATGGATAGGCCTGAAGGAGGATCTCATATCAAACTTTTAGACCTAAAAGATGGTTATAAAAGATGGAGGTACTGCACAAGGATGTGCAGTGTGGGGACAAGGGGCAACAGGCATGGGTTAAAAAGCAAAGACAGACCCCAGAATATTCCCTGTAAGAACAGTTAAACATTGGTTGACTGGATATCAACCAGTGGGATCTTGTCACTGGAAATAGTGAAAATTTGGCTTGGCAGGGCCCTGAATAATGTCCTTTGAGGCTCTGCGTCCAGCAGAAGGTTGGACCAGATGATCCCAAGGTCCCTTCCAGTGTGCACTTCCCTACAATATCTTGGAAAAGCAGCTCACGACTGTAACAACTAAATGCTGGGACAAGATCCAGGGAGGCTGGGAGATCTCCGTCCTTGGAGATGTTCCAGGTTGGACTGATCAAGGATCTGAGCAATGTGACCTACATCCCAAGCTCTGCTTGGAGCAGGAGGCTGCACCAGGTGACCTTCAAAGTCCCTTCTAAAATGCATCTTTCTGTGATTTAATGAAAACTAGTCTCCCTCTGCCCTCTTATTAAACATCATATTTTTTTATTTGATTTGATGATTTTTTTGACTTAAACTAATGCAGTGTTACAGTGTTTCTACTTTTTTAATCATGAAGCATTCACTGATCGTGCGCACATCTGCCAAGATTAGCATAGTTTATATAAACTGCAGGGAATATTAATTGCTTTTTGAGCTAACTATCTTCATTCAAATTAGGGATGCTATTAACTATCTTATTGAAGCTCTTCAGTCCATCAATGAAGTAGAGCTTGAAGATGTGATTGAAAATGTCATTGATGCCATTGAAAAACAGCCTTGTAAGTAAACAGTTTTCTTCCTAAGCTTGCTAATTTTATCTCGATATTTGGAAAAAGACAGAGTTACTGGCAGCTTATGGCATTCTAAGCTATGTAACTAAGGTGTTATCTAATGTACCAGGTTGATCATGATAAATTTATTTGTGGACTTCTTGTTTTGCTAAATGCTGAAGTTTGTCATGTCAGCAAAAGGCAATATAATTTTGTCATTTAAAAAGTTGGCCGCGTGATGCCTCCTGACTTTCCTCTGAGCAGCAAAATTCTTCAGTGCTAGCTCAGAACAGCATGTGACTGAGTTTCTGCGGGCATCTTTCATCTCAAGTTATAGCATTAAGTATTAAAATAAACCAAAAAAAAAAGCATGCCTGAGACATCATCATCTCAGCAGGAGTGTTGTGTTTGGGGACTACCTCCTGCTAAACTAGGGCATTTTGCTTGGCTGAGGCACATGGAGAAAATGTCCCTGCTCTTGAGTGAGAGGTGCCCGTGGAAGCACAAAACCTAACGAGTTGTAGCACCTTTAGCTGTAACACGTGGCTGAGGAAGGAAGTGCTGGTACCTGGCGTATATGTGTGTTTACACAGCTCATGAGAACTGGGAAACCTGGGCTCAATAGCATTTTCCATCTGAGAAGGTTCAAATTCATAAAAGCGTGATCTAAATTGGGGATCACACTGTATAAATGTACATAGATGTATAAATGTATAGTTGGTGTATATTTATGTATGAATATTTTATATGTGCAAATAGTTTAACTAGAGCACCCAGTATAGAGGTGAGGATGGCTCTGTGTTCTTACACTAACCTTGGGAAAACAGCTGATCACTGATCAAGCAGAGAGTAAGAACAGTGTAGAGAGCTGGTCCTGATCCAGCATAAAGCCTGGTGGTACAAATGAACTCTTCAGCATTTGGGAATACATTTGAAGCAGTACAAGAAGTTCTAGGCCTAGTGTGGCACCTGCAGTTAGGGTAGTCTGATGCCAGCCTTTGTCCAAGATGGGATTTTGTGCTATAAATTCCCACCTTGTACAACTACCTGCAAGGAGCTGGTTGAGAAGAAGGTAGGTGTGCAGTTCAGACGTGCTGCTCCCTGCTGTGACTCCTTCTAGTTCACTCAGTGCCCTTTTTGCTCTGCTATTCAGCAACGTCTTTGGGAAATAAAGTTTTAAGTCCTTTGGTGAATTTGTGCATTGGTCTTCCCTTCAAATTCAGCAAAACGTTAGTATTTAGCAAATATTTTTGAACATCAGCGATCAGTTTAACATCCATAAAGATAGCCATGTACCTATCTCCAGCGTTGTGTTAAACTCTTTGAATACTTACTTATGACAGCAATATGTGTGATAATGTTCTGGAACAAAATTAACCTCCAGGATGTGAAAGCTCATATCTAACACCTTTGTAGTATATTTGGCAGCTTTACATAAACTATAATTATCTCATTCTCCACGTTTAGCGAATTCATGGTGGGCACAATATGTATGTAGGTATTTTTGTATATATGTATATATGTATATATGTATATATGTATATGTATATATGTATATTTTGTATATTTGTAGGTATTTGTAGGTATGTATGTATTTTTTTGGAGAGATGTGTCCTTCTGGTAAGGAGATTAAGTAGTCTGTTTGTAAAAAAAAGATAGAGAAAACCGTACATGTCATTAGCTCATAGAAAATGTGCTTATTAGTATCATCCTCTTAGGTAACTGAACCATTTCCATAACATATTGAGAACTGCATACATTTTTACTTATCACTTTCCATAGGCTGCAGTTTTAATCCTTTGAAATGTTCTTTTCAGTGACATCTAATATGATTGAACAATCCACAGTGGAAGCAGCCGTCCAAGAATGTAGCCAAGCATTAGATGAAACTGTGTACGGTGACATTATTTTTTATGGGATGTTTATGGGAGATGGTATGCATTCCCTTATTTCTTCCTGGGGAATAAATGTCAGGCATTTTCTGCAGTGCTACTTGTGCAATAATTGCTTTGTGCTTTTGTCTTCCTGATACTGCCATTTGAAGGTTAGTAATGTTCCTTTTTAGAAAATTTGTTCCCAAGGATAGGCCTGTAGGGGATTCTAAATATAACGCTGACATTCTGGAATTAAAATGCCATGGTTATATGTTACATATGATACAAGTTGATTATTAACCAGTAAAATGAACCAATAGCAGTGTTTTAGAGCTAACTTGTTACTTCTGTTTGTTTCTTTATTTCCTTTTCTCCAGATCAAACTCTTTGACTTTTCTCAAAGCTGTTGGAATCTGTGCAGTGCAGAGAGCCTGAGCGTGACTTTCTTTGTGTCACCACTCATACGTGCTGTATTTTAAGCTTCAAAAGTGAAGTGTGCACAGTATCTCAGTGCAGAGTCCTTCCAAATGGAATAGGATCACAGGGCCAGCCTTAAAATTTCTTGAACTCTGTTCCAGAAAGCTTGAAGACAAAGTTTTCTTAGAAGTGTACTCAGAAACCTAAGACATCACTGCTAGGTAGTGAGGGATGTGCTTGTGCATAAGCCTCAGCAAAGGTTGACGTGATAGTTTTTATCTACTCGGATGAATTTGATCCAATTGCAGTAAGAGAGGAACAAATGGCATCAGAGGATGGACTCGAACCCTTAAGTAGAGGGGGATATAACAAGCCCATTAATAGTCTAAAGAGTCGTGCACATCCACTGTTTGAATGCATTCACATGAACCCTGCCAAGGATGTTTTGTTGTCAGAAATGATGCTGGAGGATGCTAATGGAAGAGGAGAGTATCCCTCTCATTTCTAAATGAATTTCGAAAGAGCTTCTTTGAATTAGAAGGTGCTACAATAGCCAATGAGTAAAGAGGGAAAAGGGTAATGGCATACAGTGATAGAGCATAAAATCAGTACTGTAATTAAGGTTTTGTTTTCTTCACGTTTCTTTCTTCTACTTCAGATAATGCTGTAAATGTATTCTCATTTCAGAGAAAATGTTTTCAACATTATTGGGGCCTTCGATATTCCACGTTATACTTATAACTCAGAAAGAAAGAAGTTTTTACCGTAAGTCTTGAATATTTTTGCTTTTTTTTAACATGTTTAAATTTCTTTTTTTTTCTAATCTCTCCCTCTTGGGTCGCCTCTTCTGAGCCCTGTGTGAGAAAGTGAGATATTTTCATGCTCTCTGAAGAGGCAGGCAGGCACTGTGATAAATGATGGCTCATAAATAAATGTGCCATTGGGATCTCCCGAGTCCAATAGCTTGAAGCCTAAAAATGGGCTTTCTCCTGTGGTAGTGTATTCTGTGCTGCCTGTGATCTTACTGGCTCTGAAACTTCGGCATTTATCAGACCATTTTTTTATGCTGTTTAATGAATAAAAGAGACAGGAAGGCTATGGACATATACCAATAAGTTTTGTTTGTTTCTATTTGGCTGTTTTTTTTTTGTTGTTGTTGTTTTTAATCAGTGTGGTTTGTCAGTTGTCTTTATTTCTCAGGCTGTAGCTTACAACACCCAGAAGTCCTGGGGCTTTCTAAAGAGAGTCACAGAATATTAAAAAAAAAATAGCAGCTACAGGTGATTCCACAGATAGGGGAAGAGCAAAGTAGCTGCAAATTTTGCCTGTAAATATTTTGCTAACTAAAGAATTTACCTTTAGCAGCACACAGCCCAGACACATGCTGAGTCAGAACGAGGTGGTGCTTTCACAACCTTTGGCTGAAGAATGGCTTGTGGTTCACCGTGAAAGGTTGCACCTACCCTCTTGTGCAACTTGTTTTCTAGCATTGATTCTTTTGGCCTGCAAAAAAAAACCTGTGTTTGAAAAGGAATTTAATTACAGTGTCACACACTGCTTTCTAGGCTATGAGAAGCAGAGAGCTTCATGTGTGCTATCCAAGAGGAAGAAATATTTTTATTCATAGCTACTTAGAAGACACAACTTCTTAAGAAAACCCACTGATTTCTGCCCAGTCCCATTCGGGTGGAAAGATAGATCTTGAGGACTGTGATTAGAGGAAAATGAAATGGATGTAGCCTTTAGGATGCATAAACAACACATCAGAAACCTTCCTTTCTGAATAAATAAATAAGCAGTAGTTTTGGAACTAGCAGAAGTAGAAGTTTTGGAGCTTCCTACATCCTTCACTTTACTATGTCTACCTTTTTCTTTTTTTTTTTTTAATCATGATTTTGTTAAACCTCTTGCAGTCTGTCAATGAGCAACATTCCTGTGCCAAATTTATTTGGAACTGCCAGAGATAAAGCAGAGTTATATCGTGAACGCTACGCCATCTTACAACAGGTCAGAAAAAGTTGTACTTTGTTTCACAAAGGACAACAGGCTATTATTTTTTGTTAGGACAGGTGTATGCCAGTGTTTTGTGTTTATGTAAGCTACGGTTTAAGAAATATCTGAGTTAGAACAAGATCTGCACTAAGTTTTATCAGTCCTCTCGATTAACACCAGCCAACATTATAGTTTCTTCTGTTTCTCCATTTTAGTGTAATGTAATAAAAGGGGATTCTATATTTTGTGTTTTGCTGTTGTGCCTCCTGTTCTGTGCTGTGTTAACTAGCGTGACACTTAGTGCTTGCTGAGAAGATATAAAGCCTGGGGAAGCTTTCATTTAGCCTGTGCTTGAAGCATTCAAGTTTTGCTTGTTTGTTTAATTTATTCTTTTTCCAGTGTTTGAAATGCTCAGAAAAAGCAGCTCTTTGCTCAGCTGACCTGTTCAGTGCTTGTCTGGTGTTAGTGCTGACTGCTGGTGTCCAGTAGAACGTGTCGGCATCCCCAGGCCTCCTCTTCCCTAGACTATATTGTGCTCCCGCTCCTCCTTATCTGACAGTTTGTTGTAGCCTCTCCGTTGCAGAGGTTTTGTGTTTGGTTATCATATTTATTCCATTAAGATCTCCAGGAAAAATGAAGGTGCAAGTCACTCTGTGGGTGAGGGCTGCCAATGCAGAGATGTTTGTTCCAAGAGGAGGCTTTCAGAATGCATAAAAAAAAACAAAAACATGGACTCAAGTGAAAACTTCTATGACACATTTTCTTCATGCTTTATGCAGTTTATGTGTTAAAGTGTCGCCTACTCCTGTTATTTTAAAAAAGCTTATTTTCATACAGTCTGCCCTGAAGAGATTACCAGCTCTTTTCCACATACTTTGCAGTTAACATAGTATAACTTCCCTTGCTCTGTTATTCCTCCTTCCAAATTGTCAGAAATAATTTTTGAAAAAAATACGTATGCACAGTTATCCTTTGGACTTAGTTTTATTGTGCAACATTGTTGATAATCTATTTTTTAGGAACATATCCTAGCCAAAAGAGTTGATCGTGCTCACCAAACCAAAAGGTCCGGGATAAAACAACAAGAGATTTTGAAAAAAAAATATTTTGTACAGTGGTTATAACAACCTGTCTTTTTGTCAGGACTTTTTTTTTTTTTTTTTAACTGATTACTTCAATTTTGGTTTCTGCAGAGGACTCACAGACATGAGTTGTTTACTCCTTCAGCAGTCGTCATTCACCCAGATGACAGTAGGAGCAAATTCCAGGTAAAAGAAAAAAAAAAACTTTTGGCCTCAAAGGGAATAGCACCAGGAATTATACTTTAATGGAGTGATAGTTCTTCAGTGACAACTTATTTTTGCATCCATATGGGTAATCAGTGAAAATGAGATATTTTCTATCATTTTTAGTTGGAGTGTCAAAAATGCAGTTGTTTGGCTTGGATCAGCATGATGACCAAAGCACTCAAAAGCAGCTATAAAGTCTACAAGAAGTGTGACTTTCTAAGGCAGAAGTGCAATAGCTGATCTCCTTATCACACTTTGCTTCCCTTCACTTCAGGATATTTTTTCCTGCTTTTTCCTTTCATAAGCACTAAATTCACAAACACAGAACTGAATAAGGTCATGACTTTTGTCTGCTCTGTTCCCATCACAGCTTTCTCAAGCAGTCCCTGTATATTATATAATTATTATGTTAGAAAGGACTGTGTGTATGTTTGCCATTGAGTTTCAAGCGTCTCCTTTGGTTTCCTCCACTTGTCTCTTCATGGTCTGCTCTTGCTCTCAGGATTGTCTCTCTCAGCTGCAACTCCAAACAAGTTTGTCCAGGAATGGCAGACAGCACATTACGTTGTGTCACCTGCCTGTCACCCTGGCGTGTCCCTTGTCATCCCTCTGAGCTTCTGCAGTAAAAATAATAGTTGTTACTGGGTGAATGCAGGCTGGCCATGTGGTTCATATTGGAAGAATAATACATATTATTCTTATGCAAGAGCAGAATTTACCACTGTTCTTTTCAGTTTTAATCCATTTGTAAGCAAAACAAAACAATAAATATTTACTTCCTGAGCGTTTCCTTATGCTAGCAGCCAATACTGGAAATCTTTTCCAAAACTCTGCAACATTTGACATCCAGAAATGTATCCCTGATTTTTCTAATAAGTCTGATTATTGCCATAACCCATTTGTATGAAAATAGGCACTATGCAATGCTTAAGAATAGATATTTAGAGAGTTTGACTGAATTATTGCTTAATTCTTTGCCTTTGATTCCAGCTTAAAACAGTGGAAACTCTCTTGGGCAATACAACTAAAGTGGGGGAAGTGATTGTGCTTGGGATGATAACTCAGCTCAAGGAGGTAGGTTGTTTTTCTTATTATGGGATATCTAGGTCACTGTACATTCTACATTATAATATATTAGAAACTGAAGTGGTTTAAATTTCTCATCACTTACTCTTGTTAGTATATGTTGATGGCAAAACCCACTGTCAGTGGCCAAAGGTTCAAGATTCACTCCCTGAGAGAGGCTTTTTCATGAGCTATTGATGCTAGTGCATAAGGGCAATGCCTCACTCTTCAGAGCACAGAATTTTATAATGCTCTGTGCTGATAACCAGAAACAGTTACATTTTCTAGCCATAGCTCAGGCTTGAACCCTGGAGCTTCCAAAACGTTTTTTGGACTTGCTGTTGCATTTGATCATGATGACAGAGAAGTGCTTCAGCCATCAAAATCACAGCCTATCAAGGGAAGCTGCTAAAATATAGTTATATAAACTGTATTGGTTTTCGTTCTGCCACTGTGCTCTGATCTTGTAATAGTGAACGCTTGGCTAAACCATTCCTAGATGATGATTGATAGATAATTCTCATTAAAACATTTATGTCTTTGGATGTGTTTGACTTTATTATCTTTTTCCCTATTTTTAGGGGAAATTTTTCCTAGAAGATCCTACAGGAGTTGTCCAGCTAGACCTTAGTAAAGCAATATCCTTTATTTGTGATTTAAAACTTGAAGAAATGTCTTACAAATGCATCACACCACCAGCTGGAAACCAGGCTTTGCAGAACTAATTTCAGAGTCTTGGTCTACAACTAATATATTTCTTAACCGTTCTGTACCAGTTTCACAGTGGTTTATATACTGAATCATGCTTTGTTTTGGCAGAAGGTAAGGCAGAATATTTTTCCTAATTGTAATAAGTTATTCTGTACTTGGAATGTTGCTGCAATTACATGTCTGCTAGATTTGGCTAAAGAGATGAGGTTTGTTCATGAACTGGGTTTGTGACTGAGATTTTTGGCCCAAAACTTGGATCTTTCCCACTTTATTGTTATCACATGGACTCTGGAGGCAGAGATAGAACTCTGCAAAATCTGTGTGTTTCAGTGTTGTCAGTGGGATCTGGGCAGGCGTATGCATTTCTAACAATGTAGCTTGTGCTTAAAAATTTGTGGAATAAACTAAATAGAAGCTAAAAGCAAGACTGGTAACAGGGACAAGTATCCCTGTGTTTCTTTTGACAGAAGGCACAGTCCTTGAGAAAGGATGCAGT